TTAATACTAACTTGCAGTTTGATAAATGTTAGCAATAATAGTTGTTGTTTCTAATAATAGTTGTAATTTTAAGTATGTTGTACTGTGTGTGAATCATTGAATCTGCAATCTGAAGATTTGTAATCCATTTATGCCGCATTGTGTCGTGTTTTTTTTAACAATAATATTATGTGTATTTGTGTGTTTATGCTGCCTGCGTTTATCCGTGGCTGCTGCTGTGCTTAACTCGTGGATTGTTCGACGTTTCGGTAGCGTTTCGGTCCAGTTCTTTTTTTCCCTCTTACCTTGTGGTGAATGTGCTGTTATGGAAATGGTGTTATTTCATCACTGGTAATTCAATTTTGATTGAGCGAATTTGCGTGTTACTTGAATGTGTATGTCGTGTTCTTCTGTTGTGAATGATGTATCAGTTATGTGTTGGTGTTGGCATTTGCAATATGGTCACTTTATGTTGGTGTTGTTGATTAAGTGCTCATCAGTTTGTGTTTGTTTATCATTTCAATTAATTTGTGTTTAGGTGCGAATCATTGTAAACTGACCCGCGTAGCATTCTGTCTTGAATTTCTTGCCGTCTAACTCGATTTCATTTCAGTTTCTTCACGTTCGTAGGTCTTTCACTTTTCTGGTTTGATTTAATATTGTGGATTTAGTTTTGAGTTTTTGTCATTTTGTTTCAGTTGCTTTTGCAAATTGTATGTCAATGTTAATTGATTAAGTTGGATGGATGCATTTGAATTACGGTTTGATTCATTGTGCATATTGTGCTAGCTGTCGCTGGAAATTTAAGGCTTACATTTTGGTGGTAATAGTGTTTGAGCTTAATGTTGTGTTTGTTACATGAATTTGAGAGGCAGTGTTTACCTTCAAATTAATAACAGCTGCAGGATCTGACACTTTTGTACCCCGATTTGCCATGTTCCATGTCATTGCCTTTAATTGAGGCACAATATTCTGAATACTTGTATTCTAAATATAGTGTCAGATCAAAGCTTCCAAAGGAGGTTTTTACCAGAAGCAAAATGTGTAGTAAAATAGTTTTTGCAATTTAGATACCGGCAGAACGAGCATATGGATAAGGCAGTGGTAATGTTCAAGTTTTGTGAGTTCTGTTACGCTACTCATTTTAAGCAAAGTTTAATTTTTTTTAAAGTTGCTTCTTAATGTTTTATTAGATCATTTAATTGTTTTTTTTTCATTCATTGCTATACTAATTGATAATTGATCTTGTATTAAGTTAAATAATTATAATAGGCGTTTTAAATCCGATAAAACTTGGTAAGCATGTGATTGAGTTGATTTAATTGTTACCCTAATTTCATTCCCATTCACTAATAATGTACCCCTCTCCCTCCAAATGTAATAGTTATTTTCTCATTTATGCTTTAATGCCTCAAAGCAATTTTCAAAACAATAAACTCTCGATTTATCGAGTCATTTTTACCCATGTAAGTCGAGTGCTTTAAAAGCCTCGCCATCGACCTCGACTCACCTTGAGTACTTTTTTTTCAAAGCAAATTAAATCTTCGAAGTCTAGCCCTTCTTGGATTTTTGGACGAAAATTATTGGGGTGTACACCTTAAATAATATGTCGTTCTACTATTCGTTTAGTACGCTATTTTGGACAAAGAAATATCATAGGAATCTAGCATTCTGTGTGATATTTTTGTTGTTCATCCAAACATTTTCGAATGAAAAAGGTGTGTCGAGATCTAGCATCTCGATAATACTCCGATTAATTGGTTGTGAGGCCGACGTCTCATTTATCAAATAATTATCACTTCTCCTAAATTATTTTCATACCTCGTTTCACTTCAAATTATTTTCAAAACATTTTATCGATTAAAACTCCGAAAGAAGGAGGTACTTGGAATTTAGCATTCTTTGTATCTTTGAGCGAATAATTCTCGAGGCACGCCCTTGAGTTGTTATTCACTCAACCTTTCGACTTTTTCAAACTCAATCATTTTCCAATGTTCTCCTAAGTCGAATGCTCGTACGCATTCGCAACCCACATTTCACACACACTTCACAATTCATTGTGGTTTCGATATTAGGGGCACTCTTAGGGACTAATATCGTTTCTCACAATCTTAACCCTTGACACGTCGTCAAGTCGGTTCTATCTTTAATCTAGTTCTCGACTCGTCGTCGAACCATTTTCAAACCAACTTCCTTTTGCCTCGCATCCCCATTTTCGATTCAATCTTTCTACAAACGTTTTTAAAACTTACGAAAGAGGGATATTCTTAGAATCTAGCATTCTTTGAATGTTCAAACGAATAACTCTCGAGACACGCTCTTGAGTTGTTATTAGTTCATTCTTTCGATTTCGAAACATCCAACTCTTTTCAATCCAATTTCCGAAAGAATTGAGTTCTTGGGATCTCGCATTCCTTGAAATTCTTGAATGACAAGCTCTTGAGGCACGCTCTTGGGTTGCTTGTCAGTCACTCTTTCGTCTCTCAACTCAAAGTCCAAACCTATTCAACCTCACCTTTTCGTGGTTGTTACCACGAACTACGACTGCTCTGATTCTTCATTCTCGTCCGAATGTAAGATACGTAGGCACAAGATTGCGATGATCTTGGCGAGCACATTTCCCATTTTCCACACTTCTATCTTTCTCCATCTTCTGTTTCCCAATCTTTCCCATAGTCGAACTACGACGCTCTGATTTCTCATTCTCGTCCGAATGAGCATACGTAGGCACAAGGGCCCCAATCCTTGGCGAGCACCCCATTTTCTAACCACACATCTCCCCTTAGCGTCTTTAACCTTTTAACCTACCAATTCTACCTTTATAATCGAGAAGAAAACAACCAAACCTAGACAACACTCTCCACAAAATACCTTAAGAGGTTCCCGTTGAGTACAACGGACGTGAGGGGTGCTAATACCTTCCCCTCACGTAACCGACTCCCGAACCCGGAACTTGGTTGCGACAACCCTGTTCCTATCCTTTTCGTTTTAAGAGGTTTTCTCGATATTTTCATCTCCCGTTTATTCGGGATAAATAAAGTTCGGTGGCGACTCTATCGAACCGCATTTCCGCGCCTTTCGCACGAGGGTCGTTTCTCCGAAATGTCTCCGTGATTTTTCGAGGTGCGACAGCATGGGCAAGGGATGGAGGGCTTCGATCCTCAAACTAGCTACTAAGGAAACAATCTATGGCGTAGGGAAATATAGGAACGACAAATATTTTGGCAACAATGTAGATAACACTAAAATCTTGGATAGTATTATAGACATGATTGTGTATATAGACTGGCTTTGTGAGATACTTAAACCTTACTTAGCTAAGTTGATGATATAGTTTTGACCCTCTTGGATATCTTTGTTTTTTTTGTCTTGGATCCATATTGGATCACCTTGATTTGAGCCAATTTTGAATTAATACAAAAAATTTTAATTAAAAAAATGAGACAAGGAAAACATAATGAGTGAAAAAAAAAAATTTTAAAATTAAAAGAAAGAGGAAATCCTACATCCATCATTTAGACCAATTTACTTCTTTTCCCTTGTTTAATTTCTGATTTTGAAAGAACCATTAACTTTGAAATTTCCTTTTGTTTGGATTTCTAAAAGAGTGATTTTTATTTTTTTTATTTAATTTTGAGAATTTTAATTTTAATTTTATTAAATTTTAAAATTATTTTAGTTTAATTTAATAAATATAATAGAATAAAAAATAATATATAAATTGAGATTGGCCAAATGATCATGTCCACGTCACTATACCAGTTCCACATTAAAAACAATTACACGTCAACCTTTTTGAATCAAAAATTAAAAATAGGAATCAAAACTATTTAAAAATAAAATAGATAGATTGTTTTCGTAAATAAATTATAATAGAGAAAACAAAATTGAATCAAAATTGTTTTCGTAAATAATTTTAATGAAAGTTTGGTAGAAAGTTATTAGTAAGAAATTATATAAAAGATGATAGTAATGGTTCAATGAAAATTATTGTTTAATTAATAATAATATAAAAATTAATAAACCGTGATATAACCACTTAAAAAAGGGATAGATCCACTTGTTGGAGAAGAACAAACTTATGTACCAAATCTTATGACACTATCACTTGTCATTTGCCTCAATTTCCAATTACCTCTAAAAAAAAAAACTTAGTACCAACACTAACACTAACACTCTTATAAAAATAAGCAATTGTGTTTAACCAACGAAGTTTAAACAATTATAGATAGATTCTACACTAATTCACAACTTAATTGTTTAATTAGGTTTAAATTATAATTGAAAATATAATATTGTGAAATGAAAACAAACATAATAAATCAATGATAAAAATGTCCTATTTTATATGCAGCAGTGTAAAAATTTAATATTAAAAGCCTAAATATAACAGAAATAAAAAGAGAATAATTAATAATAAAAGAAAACATAGATGAAGAGAAAGATAGGAAGAGAATAAAAGAAATGGAAAAAGATACAAGAGATAAAAAAATATATTAACCAACAAATGTGAAACCAAACAAGAGGACAACGACCACAATAAAGATAAGCAATTAGAGCTTTCATATCCATTATTTCCATTTGAGTTCTTTAAATGGAACTCACTCAATTTTTTATATTATATTATACATTTTTATTTTCTAAACAACTTTACTACAATTTTCAAATTTCCCAACAACTTATCAAAAAATTTAAAAGGGTCCCACCAAATCTCAAACATACCCACATATATATAATATAAAAATATAATTAAAATATTTTAATTCAAATATATCAAAAACATTAAAAAATTATACATTTAAAATAAACCAAAGTAATATATATATATATATATATATATATATATATATATATATATATATATATATATATATATATATATATATATATATATATATATATATATTAAAAAACACAATATATGACACAAATAATTTATTAAAAACATACATTAAAAAACATAAATATTAAAATAAATTACTAGCACAAAATACAAAAAAGTTATATATTTAAAATAATTTTTAATTGTTGTTATTCCCATGCCCATAACATTGACATATATGCTCTATCAAATCTTGTTGAAGGTGTCGATGAACTTGTTTATTACGAACATCAAATCTTCTGCGTAGGAGCTCTTGAAAATCAATATTAGAAGCATTCGACAATATTGTCACGCCAGTACTAAAATGATCATAAGAAAAATAAAAAATTTCCACCATATGTGGCACGTTCATCTTCAAGAATCATGTTATGTAATATGATGCATGTATTCATTATGCGCTGGAGTGTGTCTAAGTGCCAAGATCGTGCTGAGTTATGTATGATTGCAAATCGGCATTAGAGAACTCCAAATGCTCGTTCAATATCCTTTCTTGCACCTTCTTGATGTTGGGCAAACAATTTTCTCTTATCCCCTTTGGCATCGGGATACTTTTCACAAATGTTGCCCATTCAGGATAAATACCATCTGATAGATAATAGCCCTTGTTGTATTCAGTATGATTGATTGTATAATGAATCTCGGGAGCTCGTCCTTGCAGAACATCGTTAAAGACATTGGATTAGTTCAACACATTAATATCGTTGTTTGAACCCGCTACCCCAAAAAATGCATGTCAAATCCATAAGTCTTGTGAAGCCACTGCTTCAAGCATAACAGTTGGTATCCCATGATCGCCTCGAACATACTGCCTTTTCAATGCAACTGGACAATTTTTCCATTCCCAATGCATACAATCAATGCTTCCTAACATACCAGGAAATCCTCGTGCCTCCCCCATTCGCATTAAGCGTTCAATGTCTTCAGCGTTTGGCCTTAGTAAATATTATGCCCCAAAGATGTTGATCACTCCTTTTGTAAACTTGTCGACACATTTTAGTATTGTGGTTTCACCAATTCTCAAATAGTCATCCACGCTATCAGCAGATGTTCCATATGCCAACATACGGATAACAGCAGTGCATTTCTGTAATGGTGAAAGACTTGACCTACCAGTTGCATCAATCATCATTCGAAAATACTCATCGTGTTGACCTAGAGCTTCAACGATACGAAGGAACACATGTTTCTGCATTCGGTACCTTCGACGAAATTGTTCATTCGTGTATACCGGAGTTTCAGAAAAATAATCATTGAACAATCGATCATGTCCCTCTTCATGATTCCTCTCTATATATCTTCTTTGACGTCTGGGCCTTTTAGAGCTCGAGGTTTCTTCTTTCATAAATAGTCTCACAAGTTCTTCATCCATATCATCATTCATATAATCCATGAATATTTTTGCAATGTGGGAAGGATTGGAAGGATCCATGTAAAAAAAAGTTTGATATTGAGTAGAAGATGATAATAAATTGTAGAGAATGAAAGAGGTAAACAATGAAAAGAAGAACTATGAAGCTTAGTGTGCATGTTAATACTATTTATATGACTAGTTTGAATAATGGCTAGTTTGACTTTGAATAACGGCTAGTTTGAATTAAATCCAATTAAGTTCATATCAATTAAATCCAAAATACATAATCATACTAATTAAGTTCATATTAATTAAATCTAAAATACATAATCATATTAGTTAAGTTCATCTCAATGAAATCCAAAATACATAATCATACTAATTAAGTTCATATCAATTAAATCCAAAATACATAATCATACTAATTAAATCCATATTTTTATCTAATCATCTCACACAATATTTCATGTGCTTTTAGTTGTCTTGTATCCATATTTGATGTATCTTTTGAGAGTGTCTGCAGATCATTTATCTTTAATCTTTCCTCTTATTTCTCAGCCTTCTTAATCTTTGCATCAATTTTTTTTCTCTCTATCTCAACTTTTTCACCCTCAATACGTGCATAGTCTCGTGCAAACATTGACATCAAATCAAAATTTTTTTTGAAGTCATCTTTCAAAGAATCATATTTAACATTGGGAGAAAAAGACATTTCCACAAGCTTTTCTTTCTCCTTCCTTTTGGCCGCTTTTTGACCAATTGGATGACGTGACATAGTAGGTGATGGTGGATTATACTCGTTGCTCGTTGGTTTTAGTGGATTAGAAGATGAGGAATATGCTCTTGAAATTGAATTCTTTGTTCTTTTTGCAGAAGCTTCCGATGAACCTACGAGCCATTTAGGTTCATCTTTCAATAATCTCCATGCAGCCTCAAATATAAACTTTTTATTAAATGTGTTTTTGTAACTGCTAGATTTATTATTACTATTTTATTTTATTGTTTCAGTTTTTAGTCAATTAGTGGTTGCTATACTTTAGGAGCAAGCTAGTAGTAGTTGCTATACTTTAGGAGCAAATTAGTTTAATTATTCAATTCCCTAAAATCCTGGTTACGTGGGATAGTTTTCAGTTTTCCTTTCTATTATTTATTGTAACGCTTCTATTGATCAAAATATATTACTTTCTTTCACCAATAGTTTTCTCTACTTCTCTGCCTCTCTATTTGTTATTTTCTGCCATTAAACTAACAAATTGGTATCTAGAGCCTTCTTCTTAGAGGGACCTGTGAGTGAACCCATTAAAAAACCCACCATAATAAACCTTCCTTCAATTCATCAAATAGATGGATTTTGAAACTCCTTACACAAAACAGCACCGCCTGTGTTTGACGGTGATAATTATCACATCTGGGCAGCAAGAATGGAGGCTTACCTAGAAGCAAATGACCTTTGGGAAGCCGTAGAGGAAGACTATGAAGTTCTTCCTTTACCGAACAATCCAACTATGGCTCAGATAAAACATCACAAGGAGAAGAAAGGAAGAAAATCTAAGGCAAGAGCTACTTTGTTTGCTGCTGTCTCACAAGACATTTTCACCAGAATCATGACGATTAATTCGGCATTTGAGATCTGGAATTTCCTCAAGGAAGAATATGATGGAGATGAAAGAATCAAGGGAATGCAAGCAATGAATCTGGTTAGAGAATTTGAAATGCAGAAGATGAAGGAGTCTGAAACAATTAAGGAGTATGCAAACAGACTTCTTAACATTGCTAACAAGGTGAGGTTGTTAGGTTCTGATTTTTCTGATTCAAGAATAGTTCAGAAAATACTAGTAACTGCTCCTGAAAAATTTGAAGCTTCTATTACTTCATTAGAAAACACTAAGGATCTTTCAAAGATCACATTGGCAGAACTTGTAAGTGCTATGCAGTCCCAAGAGCAGCGAAGGTTGATGAGACAAGATGGTGCAGTCGAAGGTGCTTTACGAGCCAAGCACCATTATGGGGAAACCAGTAGAAAGAAGCATGTCAAGAAGGACCAGCCATCAAGCAGCGGTAATAGTGCAAACAACCAAAACAATGGTAGGGTTAAAAAGAAAAACTACCCACCTTGTCAGCACTGCGGGAAATTGAGTCACCCACCATACAAATGTTGGAAACGACCAGACGCGAAGTGTAGTAAATGCAATCAGCTTGGACATGAAGTTGTAATTTGTAAGAGCAAATTTCAGCAGCAACATGAAGCCAATGCCCAAGTTGTTGAGCAAGATGAAGAAGACTATATTTTTGCTGCAACATGCTATTCGACAAGGAGCAATTCTGAATGCTGGTTAATTGATAGTGGTTGTACGAACCACATGACATATGACAAGACTATTCAAAGATTTGAAGCCCACAAATGTCTCAAAGGTCAGAATAGGGAATGGTGGCTATATTACTGCAAAAGGAAAAGGAACCATTGCAATTTCAACGTGTTCAGGTGCCAAAATTATATCTGATGTTCTCTACGTACCTGACATTGACCAAAACTTACTAAGTGTAGGTCAGTTGATTAAAAAGGGATTTAAAGTATCCTTTGAAAATCAACAATGTCTCATCTACGACATTGCTGGCTGGGAAGTTTTACGGGTTAAAATGAGAGGTAAAAGCTTCTCGTTTGATCCAACAGAGGAGGAACAGGCAGTCTATTTTACTCAAGTCAGTCCCACAGAACTCTGGCACAAGAGACTCGGCCATTGCCATCTTGAAAGAATGTTGAACATGCAAAGAAAAGGCATGTCAAGAGGTCTGCCAATACTTTCTGATAATTTACCAAATTGTAATGCTTGTCAATTTGGTAAACAAATAAGAAAATCATTCCCCAAATCAGCTTGGAGAGCTTCTCAAAAGTTGCAGCTTGTTCACACTGATGTGGCGGGACCCCAAAGAACACCATCACTACAAGGTAGTCTATACTTCATTCTTTTCATAGATGACTTCACAAGAATGTGCTGGATATTTTTTTTGAAATTTAAGCATGAAGTGGCTGGAGTATTTATGAAGTTCAAGAAAATGGTGGAAACTCAAAGTGGCTGCAAGATTCAATGTATAAGATCTGACAATGGGACAGAGTATACATCAACAAAATTTAATTAATTTTGTGAAGAAGCTGGTATTGAACATCAACTCACAGCCCCCTACACTCCACAGCAAAATGGGGTTAGTGAAAGGAGAAATAGATCGGTGATGGAGATGGCTAGATGCATGTTACATGAGAAGGAGTTGCCTAAAACATTTTGGGCAGAGGCGGCTAACACAACGGTTTTTCTCCAAAATCGGCTTCCAACCAAAGCCTTGAAGGATAAAACTCCATTTGAGGCTTGGTATGGGTATAAGCCATCACTAACGTTTCTTAAAGTGTTTGGTTGTGTTTGTTTTGCACATGTTTCACAGGCTAAGCGTGACAAACTTGACAAGAAGGCAACTCTGGGCATCTTTGTGGGTTACAGTTCAGTTTCAAAGGCCTACAAAGTGTATCATCCTCAAACCGGAAAGATGATTGTTACCAGAGATGTGCACTTTAATGAAGAACAGCAATGGAATTGGGAGAACTCACAAAGAACAATTAAACTATTTGGCAACATTGATGATAAGCATTCGGGACAGCAAACAACAGAGCTGTTACAGGATGAATTAGAAGACGACCCTCCAATCAGAGGCAAAAGGCTGTTATCTGACATCTATCAAAGATGTAATGTAGCAGTTTGTGAACCTGCTAGCTGCGAGGAAGCGCAAAAGGACCAGAAATGGAAAACTGCAATGGAGGAGGAGATGTCCATGATACAAAAAAACAAAACATGGGAGCTGGTTGACAGGCCTAAAAATAGAAAAGTCATTGGAGTTAAATGGGTTTTCAGAACAAAGCTTAATGCAGATTGCTCAATCAACAAGCACAAGGCCAGACTTGTAGTTAAAGGGTATGCGCAAATTTTTGGTGTTGATTATTCCGACACTTTTGC